GTATCCAAAGGGGGATCAGAAGGCATTGGGGGAGTCACTGTTCCCCCGAGCACAGCCAGGAGTGACCAGGAACAAGGGTCACAAGCTAGCAGAGGGTAGATTTAGGTTAGACATCAGAAGATGCTATTTCACGGTCAGGGCGGCTAGAGTCTGGAACCAACTTCCAAGGGAGGTGGTGCAGGCTTCTACCCTGGGGGTTTTTAAGAAGAGGTTAGATGAACACCTTGCTGGGGTCGTTTGACCCCAGTACTCTTTCCTGCCATGGTGGGGGGTTGGACTAGATGATCTTCTCAGGTCCCTTCTGACCCTAGAAACTATGAAACTATGAAAATTAAGTTGAGAGAGATAATTAGCAGTGTTAGTCTGAAATCAGGCAGAAGGTAGAGTAGAGATGCACCTTATAGACTGATTCAATCATGCATAAGCTTTTGAGAACAACAGCTCACTTTATCAGATGCTGTATCTAAAGCTTATGCATCTCTGATTCAGTTAGTCTATAAGGTACATATCTACCTTGTCTTCTATATAAAATTAAGTTATTACTACTACTTTGAAGTTATATAAACCATAGGGCAAATATTTATAATTTTATACAAGAAAATATCATTGAAATATTTGTGAAAGCTTCTACCTGCATAAAAAACATTTTCCAAGTTGCCAGATGTATAACGCTGGTGACGCCTGTAGAACCTATTGCTGCTGTTCCCAAAACAAATACCCCCCCCCCCACATACAAACAAAGATTAAGGCTGCTAGGCGGCAGAACTGTTCTTACCTATCATGTAATCTACAAAAATCAAACATTTCAAATTGAGCAAATGCCCAGGCAATATATAAAATCTCAATCTGCCTGCATAATTTCATAAATATGTTGGCCTAGACCAATTGTACATCTCACATAGAAGTGGTACTCGGCTGGTTCTATCGCATTCTTTTCTAGGGCCCATGAAGACACCTCACTGTAAGCTTGAATTTCTTCCTCAGAAGTAACGGAAACTGAGCAGAGGAGGAATGACAAGGTGAGGATGAACATACATGTGCTTCCTCTAGCCCAGTTGACTGGGAAATTATATATAGAATTGAAAAGTACAAAAGTACACTTCACCTGTTAAGGAAGATGTAGCTTATTGTTCTCATCAAGTTAAAGGCACAATCATTTTACAACTTAATTTGTGACCCTTTATACACTGAGTAGCATTTAACTTATGCAAGTAGCGCCATTTATGTCAGCATGACCAAAGGTAGTAGAAACAGGCCTTCATTACTGGCCTGTCAATAACTGTATTATTTTCAGTTAATATATTTGTGTTTTCTTGATTGCAGCATGTGGTGCTTATGGAGAGAACAGTAAACAAACTGAAAACTCACGCAGTAGGCAAGATATATTTAGATAAAATTATCAAGTTACATATCCATACAACTAAATGTGTAAATCAAGCCTTAGAAACAGGTATAAAAATTGCTGCCCTTGAAGAGACTGGATTTTATGCGTAGTAAATACCTGCTATGGCTAGATTGTTGTCAATATCTGAGCTACCTAATTTAAAACTAACTCGGATATGTTTGCCCTACATTGTGTTGGCTGTCAACATTTCTAATGTTAATAAACCTGGCACAAAGAGAGAGGGTGTCTCATGGAGCAACTGTCTTCCAACCTCATTTTCAGTTCCCCAGCATTTGATTTTCAAAACCTTTAATTCAGAAGATCACTAAGAAAAGCTTCATGGACCATGTTTGAGAACTACTCACATAAGTAGAAAGGCCTAGCTAAGAGAGAACCCCTTCATCTTATAGAACTGAAATTGCAAAGATTTACTCAAGAAGAAAATTGTAGAATACTTTTTAAAAACAAACAACAAAACATGAGAAGGCCTTTTTAATCTTGCATTGCTGCTGTTGCACTCAACACTTATAACAAATATCTTAGGATCAGCTCTGGATGACAGATGGTGCCTGGAAATTTATTTTACTCGCTTATTCACAGTTTCATTAATCTAAGATTAGCAAAAGAAATGTTTTGTAGAATAAAGTATTGTGGAAGAAATGAAGATGAACTCTTAGAATAGTTTGAAGTAAGATTAATGTTCATCATGGTTGTACTTTGCCATTTTACTTCTACAGTTTTTAGTTATTGGTCTATGCCAACCATGAGGTGGGTCCACTAACCTCTCACTTAAACTTGTTTAAACATTACTTTGAACCATCTAATGAATAAGGCAGTTAACCCCCCACCCCAAATTCCTTATGTGGAAGACATAAGGGGGTTGATATAGAACTGAGAAGGAATAGTATACAAGGATATCACACTTACCCAAATTCAAGACAACTTAAAATTAAAGATGACCCTCTCAATGATTAGATTCTACACATAGAAAATTCATATATTTGTTTTAATTCTCCATGTATAGACTCTAATTATTAGAGGGTTGTCTTCAATTTGTCCCCGTCCCCCCTCTGTGACAAGGAAAGCAGCGGCAGGGAAACAAGCAGTAGGGGAGTTGAGCACCCCTTGCATCTGCACCCCCATGCAGTGCCTGTGTCCCCCCATGCTTGCTCCTCCCCTGCTGCCTGCCCACTTCCACTATTCCCTCATCCCTGGTTCACTGTCCTGGGACCTGGCTCCAGTGAGGCACAGAGCACATGTTGGCTCTAGCTCTCGCCTGGCCTGGCAGCATCAACTGTAGTGGTGGCAGCTCCAGCACTAGCCCTGAGTTCAGAGTCAGAACTGGGGCCCAGAGGTATTGCCACTGCTTCCTTGCCAGGTAGTGGATGGAGCCAACATGTGCTTAGAGCCCTGGGTCAGGGTGGAGCAGGACCCAGACCCAGAGCCATGATTTAGTAAAAAGCAATAGCAGGAGTGTGGTGGTGGTGGGGGAGGTAGCATGGAGAAGGGCTGGCAGGGGGAAAGGGTAGGGTGGAAGCTGCTGCTCAAACTCCCAAGACTGGGTTGGGGTTGGGGCTAGGGCCAGAGCTGGAGCTCCATCCACTGCCTATCTTCCTGCCCTCCCAAACTCAAATCCAAGACCCTTGGATGTTGAATGGGGAAAAAGACTCTTGCCTTGGATTTGAGTAGATACAGTATTTCCTTTCTTGTTTTGTCAATAATAGTATATCTCACCATGCTGCTTTGGTATCATGATATCAAGAAAGCTACAATATGAGAATTGTATAAGCTGCCTTTTACTGGTTTTCTGATAAAGGAAATAATTGCACAGGCAAAACTGACTGGGAGAATAACAAGTAATTCAGCAGAATCTGATGAAGAAAACACAAAGGTAGAACTTAGAAAAGGCTTTGAATATCTGATTAGGATAAAACTGCCAACACTTGTATTAAGATGATAGAAATGTCAAGAACTGGCATATGTTCCTTGAAATCTTTTCTTAATGAAGAATATTAAGACACCAGATAAAGGAATAGGTTGATATTTGGACTTGTCTACCTTTTGATGAATTCAAGACAACCGATAAAGCAGCAGTTGAGGAAAACAAGACTTCTGAAGGTAATACAAATATTTTCATGCTTTAATATTCTTTATGTGAAAACAAGGAACATTCAGAGGACCAACTATATAATGAAGAGAAAATGTTAAGAGTGAAAAACACTATTTATTGTTATTAAAAAACTCTGTAAATCTATTACAAATCTCCAGTGAAGGACCTGATTCAAAATAGAAAGAGTTCTAAAAGATTATTGTATACAGAAAATATATACCATTTTTAAAGTGAATGTTGTATTAGTAGGTCTGATCTCCATTTAGCTATTTATACCAGTGTAAAGTGGGTATAAAAGAGGAGTAACGCATTCCTGAATCACTATAATTTTACATTAAGTCTTAACAAATGAGAACAAACACCTAAGTTCAAGACAGTGGAGAACTGGGCATTTTGACTTTACTTTCAGATCCATTTTTTGTTTTTGAGAAGCTGGTGCATAAATTCCTAGAAAAACACAAATTTATTTAATCTGATCCAAAATATATATGTATATACCTTGGTTCTTTAAACTTCTTTTGGTACATAAGCATCACTTTCTACTTAATGTGACCTGAAAGAGGGCTAGACTATATCATCTCCAAAAAGTCTTCAGTTTATGAAACACGATTGTATTAGTAAAGCACTATCTTGAATGAGTTCTGACTGCTAAGAATTTAGAATCAGATCCTATGCTGCCCCAGTCAGGAAGTGCAACACAGAAAGCAGAGCCCAGAAATAAATCCGATTTGACTGTATGCTGCATTCACATCCCTGAGATTGTAAGTTGGTTCAGGGCATAAGGTGATCCCTGTTGTTAGCTCTAGCCAGAAGCATCCCTAAGGGTGGGTGGAGCTCAGGGGTGGGGTGGGTGTATAGGTGGAGGAAGAAAAAATAAAATTGGGCGCACACACACACACGCTTCCCCCCATGGAAAAGCCTGTGGGGGGAAGGGAAAGGGCCACCGGGGGGGAGGGGGGAAGCAGCATTGCCTGGCACTGCACCGTGTCAGCCCTGGCTGCCTCCTGGCCCTGGCAGCACCAGCCCCAGCCCCAGCCAGCTCCTGGCCCCAGCTGCCTCCCCACCCCAGCCCCAGCTGTGTACTGCCTGGGGGGATCCAGAGTCAGGGGCTGGAATGGGGCCAGCCTTGGCTGCATGGCTGGGCTGAAGGGCTTCTTGCCTGCCTCTGCCACTGTTTTGAAAGTGGTGGGCACCATCGTGTGCATTCAGCCGCTGGGCGGGCCAGGCAGCGAGGCACGTGGCGCCATGCTGCAATGCTTTCAAAGGAGTGGTGGTGAGGCGTAGAGGTGTGGAGCAGAGCGCAGCTCACAGCTGCTGCCCACTTGCCTCATGCAAAGATTGGGGGGCCACGTGCTCCCTTGCCCCCTTGGCTGCCCAGAGCTGCAGGTAGGCTCCGATTGTCCCATGACCCAGCCTGGCCAGGGCCTGATTCCCCATGATTGGGGCCTTGGCTGGGCCAGGTCATGGGACAATCAGAGCCCAGCAGCTTGTCCAGGGTTGCGACCTGCGGAAGTCGGAAGGGGAGTGGAACTCCCCCTTCCGCCGCTTGACTCCCTGTGGTGTGCGCAGTGGTGGGAGCTGCCTGCCAATTCCCCTGGATGAGCTGCCAGGCTCTGACTATCCTACAACCTGGTTCATCCAGGGTCCCAGTCACGGTGAACAGGGCCCCAGCTGGGCTGGGTTTTGGGACAATCCCCATTGTGCAGCAGGGAGGGGCAGAAGTGAATGATTTGCCCTTCCCTTACCCCACTCTGTCCTGCATTGTGGGGGTGTCAATCTACCCCGCCTCCTCCCCAAGCCCAGGGTGATAAAGAAGATTAAAAGAAACTTACCTGCCTGTGTGCGGCTTAGCCGGCTGCAGTGCTGGGTGTGAGTGCAGGGTAGCTGAGTGTGGCCTAGGGCTATGCCTGCTGCTGCCCTCCTTTGGTGGGGGGGGTGATCCCCGTTAGCCCCCCCCCACTGCTGGCTGGAGCCAGTAGCACTAGACAGTGGTGACGTGTGGCAGTGGGGCCTGTACAGCACCATCCATGGGGCTCCCCAAAGCACAGGGCCTGGGGCTGTCACTCTGATTCGCCCTCCCTAAAGACAGCTCTGGCTCTAGCTTGTATCAGCCCCCTACATCTATTTAAGGGGCTACACTGTAGTCCATTTAAAAATAAAAAATATAAACTTAGTACTCATCTTCCTTTCCTAATTTCATCCAATTCCTGGACATGGTTTTGTTCAATGTCTTCATCAACGACCTGGAAGATGCTATACAGTGCACCCTCAGCAACTTTGCATATGACACCAAGCTGAGGGGAGTAGTAGATATGCTGGAGGGCATGGGGGATTGGCGCTGCCTTAGTCGGGGGGGTATGTGCCCCCCCAGCGACCAGTCAGTGACCAGGCAGGGGGGGTCCCCCTGAAGCCAATCCTGCCAACCGTGGGGGCATCCCCCACAGCCAATCACTGGCGCTTCTGCCTGCCCCCCCTGCCCATCACCTATGCAGCAAGCGCAGCCAGTCAGGGGGTGCATCAGTGCTCTCACCCCCTAGACAAATTGGAGGATTTGGCCAAAAGGAATCTCATGAGGTTCAGCAAGGACAAGTACAAAATCCTGCACTTATGACAGAACAATTCCATGCACCAGTACAGGCTGGGGGCTAACTAGCTGGGCAGCAGCTGTGCAGAAAAGGACCTGGGGGTTACAGTGGTCAATAAGCTGAATATGAGCTAGCAGTGTGTCCTTGTTCCCAAGAATGCTAATGGCATACTGGGCTACATTGGTAAGTGTGTTGTCAGTAGGTCAAGGGAAGTGATTATTCTGCTCTATTCAGCACTGGTGAGGCCACATTTGGAGTACTGTGTTCAGTTTTGGGCCCCCTATAGAAAGAATATGGAGATATTGGAAAGAGTCCAGGAGAGGGTAACAAAAATGGTGAGGGGGCTAAGGGACATGACTTTTGAGGAAAGATTGAGGGAACTGGGCTTATTTAGTCTAGAGAAGAGGAGACTGAGAGGGGATTTAATAACAGCCTTCAACTATCTGCAGAGGCAGCTCAAATTCTGATTTCTATTTATAGAATCATAGAATCAATGAGTTGGAAGCGACCTAGACAGATCATCTAGTCTGACCCCCTGCCACGGGCAGGAAGGAGCACTGGGGGTGGCAGGGGTCATAAGACCCCAGCCAGGTGCCTATCCAGTCTCCTCTTGAAGATTTCCAGGGAAGATGAGAGCACCACCTCTCTGGGAAGCCTATTCCAGGCTCTGGCCACCCTTACAGTGAAGTAGTTCTTCTTAATATCTAACCTAAAAGGCATTGGAAAGTGGATGGAGCTACACTATTCTCAGTGGTGGCAGATGACAGAACTAGGAGCAATGGTCTCAAGTTGCAGCACGGAAAGTTTATGTTAAATATTAGGAAGAATGTTCTTATTAGGAGGGTAGCAAAACACTGGAACAGGTTATCCAGAGAGGTGGTGGAATCTCCATCCTTGGAGGTTTTCAAGACCTGGCTAGACAAAGCTTTGGCTGGGATGATCTAGTAGGGGTTGGTCCCGCTTTGAGCAGGAGGTTGGATTAGGTGACCTCAAGGTCCCTTCCAACCCTCACTTTTATGATTCTATGATCCTACGGCCTAAAGTAGATATTTTGGGTATGCCTGCCTATCCAAGAGAATGAGGGTGATTGCAGAATACCCTGCTAGCTAAAGCATGTGCCATTGCATCTTCACTGCTGTTGCTGTCCGTGCTAGATAGATTAAGCCAGCATGGGTATGCCAACACATTACAATTGCATTTTTATGTTGCTGGGTAGACATCTTTGCTGTATTAGGCTTTTACTGATGATGTAGCTATTGCACAGCCACTGGGAGCAGTCCCATGAAGTGGATAAGACAGCTTTGATAGTCCATTCAAAGGGCTGACTCACACCTTGTAAGGGGACTTCTAAAACTTAATGCTGAATAGTACAAACAATAAATAAATATATAAAGGTCTTTATGTAGCATACATGAAAAATAGAATATAGGTAATCAGCTACAGCATACTGAAGAGGACTCTGCAGTTGGCTTGCTATGTGACAAGTCTATACAGTTGTTCCCTACTGTTGTTCTGTATTTTCATCCCCATGCTGAAATCTTTGATGACGTGATATCAAGTATAATAAAATTTTTGTGTAAGACTTACTGCAGCAGATAGCAATAGCTTTGGAAATGCAAATAGCACCTTCCTGATCACTTCTGGGTCACTTAGTGGATTCTCCTGCACCAGTTTAGGATTCTGGTTAGAAAGTGAGGTTTTTAACTGTGAGTGGATCTGAGAACACAGAAAGCCAAGCATCAGAAACATTCATATTATAATTTGACACAATTAGTGTAAAGTAACAGCCACTTACTGCCTGATATATGAAAATAGTCCACTTTAAGTAATGAAACTAGTCACATTCAGTAAACTTATTTTTAGTGGAATCACTGAGGTAAACAGCCTTTTATAGGGATGAAAGACCAGAAATCCCGGAGCTCATGAACAGCAAAGTATTCTTTTCTTTCCTTATTAAATTAAGCAGGACTTATCAGTAGGGACTGTGAGAGGAGGGTGAAAAGTACAATACCTTCTGGTCCATTTCTGGTAAGATTTGACTGGGGGCAGGAAAAAAATGGCCCACAGGCCAGATCTGGCCCACCAGATGATTTTCATTTGGTCTGCAGGTGCCCACAAATTAATTGTACCCTAGCCAGCCCACGTTTCACTCCCACTGTCTTGCATCCTGTGTGGGAGGGCCCTGGCCAGCATGCACAACTTCTGGGCGGGGCTGTTGCTACCACTGCTGCAGTTGGGGGGGGACTCTAGCTTCCCTGGACTCTAGCGGCTCCTCATGTCCCTGCTGTAGTGCTCACTCTGGGCAGCAGATAGGGAAGATGCAGCTGGGTGGGAGCATGGACCATGGGGCTGGCACAAGCATGGAGCCCAGGGCCTGTGCCCAGCGCAGTGGTGGGAATGCTGAGCTCGGGTGGAAAGGGTGTGGGTGTGTGTAGGGTTTCTGGGGTGTGAGAGAGGGTGGAGGGATGTGGGGACCCCTCACACACCCCCTCTATTGTGCACAGCTCCTCATGCTGGTGGTGGTGGCAGCAGGGGCCAGTCCCTCGGGATGCTCATGGTCCATGTTGGTGCAGCTGCTGGGCTGTGCACAGCTCCAGCCAGTTCTGGGAGCTGTATGTGGCTGCAAGGAGCAGAGCCAGGCTGACCCACTGCTACTGCACAAGGCTCATGTGCAGCTCCTGGGACTTGCGTGCCACTAGCAGGGAAGCCCTGTGCAATAGAGATGGTGGCCTGGGCCCACTCCCTGCTATCATGTGCAGCTCACGGGACTCTGTCAGGAAGGTACTTCTGGCTGAGTCCCATGAACTGCACGTGGTGGCAGGGAGTGGGGAAGGCAGCTAGCTTCATTGCATGAGGCTTCTGCCCGGTGGAATGGGAATCCCAGGGGCTGCATGTGAGGCTTGTATGATAGAGATGGGCTGGCCTGGCTCCACTTCTTGCAACCACGTACAGCTCTCGGAACTGGCTGCAGCTGTGCACCGCCTGGCGGGTGTACCTGCACAAGCCAGGAGTGCACTAAGGGCCTGCTGCTGCTGCCACTGCCCGTGGTGGGGTCTGTGCACCACACCTCCCCACTCTCCCTCATATCCCACAAACCCCACACACAGCCACATCCTCCCTCACACTCACACCAATATACCTTACATCTCCCCACAGCCACACCCCCTCACAAATCCCTCCACACATCCACCCACATACACACAAACCCACCCCCCAACCACACCCCCCACACAATAATAGTCAGACTTTATTTTTGATCAATTATGCATAATTACAGAAATGCACATACATCTGGATATTTTTAAATAAAATTAAATTGCATTATAGTAGATGTTTGACTTTTAGTACATGATTTGATTTTTCTCCAGTTCCAAGATGGCACCCCTCTGCAAAAGGAGTACTTCCAGGGGCAAGGGGAGGGACTTCCGGTAGCAAATGCCCATGGTTAGAGGGTGGGTTAGAGGATGGCAACTGGGGGTCAGGGCATCTGTCAAGGAGTAAGGCTATTGTTGCAGCCCTCAATAGCTCACCAAAATTCATTAAGTGGCCTTCCAGCTGAAATAATCACTCACCCCTGGATTAGACTACAGTAAAACATATTAATTCTTACAGTCCATGAAGGATGCACAGTCCCAATATCTAATGTATTTGCATATTTTTTACAAAGTCTGCTAAAGTAAATAATATTGACATCATTTTATTGTTTCAAGGCACTGAATTTATAGGCAGGACTTCAGTTTGTGATTTCCTGTACAGGATTTAAATAAATTTTCCAAAACCTTGATCTGTTTGTTGGTTTGCCAAGGACAAAAACAGCCACTTGTAGCCTTTCTCTTAGGGAACTGTTCTGATTGGCTCCTTGCAGACATTAAAAACAAACTCCACCCCCCACACTTTACCTGAAGAATTAGTGTGTAACTTCAACCATGCTCTGCAGCGTTGGTAAAGATCAGGTGCTTCAGTGGGGCTTTTTGGCACTTTTAGCTAACGCTGATTCAATCAGCTATTAGATAAAAGTGCCAAAAAAGCCCCACTAAATTGTCTGATCTTTACAGACAGCGGGCGAGCCAAGTTGAAGTAACGCACTGCCTTTTCTGGGCGTGTGCAGGGCTTGGCATGAGCGCATGCCAAGTCTGAAGTAAAGCACCATTTTCTGTCATGTCTGCATGCACCCATTTTGACTAAGTTATTCCGTGTCTTGCAGGATGTTAAAACTGTTCAAACATATCTTCAGGAATCAGGAACTCTACATCATAAGATAAATCTCACAGTGTCCTAATGCTGTGTGAAAGGTACCAAAAGCTTTTTTATTGACTGATACACCTCTGTTACAGGTACAACCCGAAAATCATCTGAGGGAATTCAGGAAAGGCCATAAGTGCAGGCCTAGGCAAGTTTGTAAATCCAATCAAGCAGGGAGCGTGATTGAGATTTATAAAGGTAGTAAACATGTTAAAACATCCTCAAAACAATGTCCTACGCCAGTACTTCGGTACACTGGAGGAACATTTAAAATGGTAATAAGAAGTTTGGGGTACTGCCAATACTTTTCTTTTATGTCTGTACTGGGCCTCCCAAAAGGTTGTGGCCTCTAGCACTATTGCATCACAAAAACCAGTAACTTAAACTCTAATTTTTGAAGTATTTCTCATATAGGTTGCCTGATCTTGAAAACTGTTTCAAGTTGCAGCGATGGCAACTCTCCAGGTGTTCTAAACTTGAAATTGTTTGTTTTCAAATAAATTCATTCTTTAAGAGTGACAGCCTATGTTTCTTCCTCTTTCCATTCCTGTTTTATTTAACTAATTCCTTACGCAGGTGCTTTGTATCCTTTGCTGCCTTTTTCCTAAGCCTGACAAAGTTTTTTCCTTCTTTTGGAAATCCACAAAGCAGACACAGTAATTTCTTTCTCTGCTAGTTTCTTTCCCTGTCCCTCCCAAGGCAATGGATTTATAAATCAGTAAAGCCAATGTACAGACATATCAGATAACAAGAGACCCTGCCTCTCTCCATTTGTCCCAGAAAGGAGAACAAAAGCCCACTGCAAACAAACCAAACCAAATATTAGCGATCTTTGTATGATTCATAGTAAGAACAGTTTTGTTGGTTTGTTTAGAGGCAACCAATTTATGGATTAGCACTGTAATGTACCTCAAAAGCATCACAATTATATTGGGAAAGCTCATTTGAAACTATTTAAAGCTTTCTTTTTACTTTAAATGACATCTTTAATAAAAATGGGAGCATTCATTTTATTGCTCAGAGGGATCAATCTGTTTTCATGCAATTTGAACAGATGAAAAAAGTTGAAAAATAAATTAAAAGCAACTAAAAGAAAATGATTAATTTGACAATTAAATAAATGCATTATACACAACTGGATAATTGAGTGATTTGGTAAGTTAGTGCATAAATGTTGTTAGACCTGAAAAAGGGGCCAAAAACTTGTCTATAACCCTTCCAGTTATACAGTTGATCCAGTAAAAGATATCACCCCCAAAACCTTGTCTCTTAAACAAAAAGACATTATCAACATCTGTAGGTGAAACTTGTTTGGTCCTAAACCCTCCAGGCTGTAACTCAACCAAGTAGAATCAACGAAACTGCTGGGGTCCATTATTTCTCAAGAATCAACGTGGATCTGAACATTTTTCTCATAGTAAACCCCTGAGCTAAGTACAGACAGTCAAAAAAGCCCGAGGCAGAATTGAATTAATCTAGGCAGCTTCCTCCAAGCTGCGCTGGCTGAACCAATAACCAGCTGAACTGACATTCAGTTTTCAGTTGGGAAAGGCAGGGGTGGCCTGCACTGACCCAGGACAGTAGGCAGGGGGTGCTAGAGCACATCTCCTAGCCTGCCGGCCATTGCCAGCCCAACCAAGTGTTCCCAACCGCTGCTGCCCCTCACAGGGGGTTAAGGGGCCCCCTGTCTGGGTGCTGGCCCACCTTGGGGGAGCCTCCCCCTCAGGTGGTTTCCCCCAGCCTGCATTCCCCAAAGACAGGCAGCCCTAGGGAGCTGAGGGGAAGTCTTCCCTTCCCAACCCCCAGAGCTGCTTGCCTTGGCTGCTGCAAGTCTCAGGGGAAGCCCAGTGCAGCTTCAGGGCGGGGTGGGAAATTCTTCCACTCCCCTGCAACTAGTTTTGCTTCAGACTCACAGCAGCTGAAACAAAACCAGCTGCAGGGCAGCAGGAGAATTTCCCTCCACCCTCTGAGACTCTCAGAGGCTAAGCAAGCAGTTCTGGGGTTCAGGAGGAGAATTCCCCTCAGCTCCCTGGGGCTGCCCAGGGCTGTGATGAGGGGAAGCCCCCTCCAAGGCAGGGGCTCCTTGGTGCCCCTATGCTGGGCTGCACCAGCAGGCACTCAGCCAGGAGGACTCTTCTCCCTCCCTCTTGTGGCAGTTGTTGAAGCAATCAGCACCTGGGAAGGTGGAGGGCTGCCCAGGATTGAAAAGCCCCCACCACAGGTGCTTTCCCTCCCCCCATGCGCTGTGCAGATCCTGGCTAGGGGGCATCTGGTGATCTGTTTCCTTGTACCTCCCACACCACCCCCGGCCCTTCCTATGGCCAAGGAGCAGAGGGGCAAGGCAGTTCCTGCTCCACTGGAGCAGACAACATAGCCCGAGGCTGCAAAGCATCCTGTGAGTTAACTTGAACCAGGAAGGGATCTTGGGACAGAAGTTCCATAAACTGGTTTGCCCTAAGTCAGTTAAGTCTGATAGATACTACATCCAACCAGATTTATTTTAAACCGGTTTTGGCCATTTTGAAGCTGGTTTATGTGGACTGAACTTCTGTTCTGTTACACGTTTAAACCAGTTTCTGATCACTGAAACCTTCTTATGCGTAGCCTCTGTCCCGAGACATGTATCACACACTAGGATATGTTAATTTCCACAAAGCAGTTCACAGAATAAAGTCTGCAGGGACAAGTCCTGATCTTCCAGTGAAAGGACTGACAAGCTGTAGGGCTGTTGGTTGTAGCCATGTTGGTCTAAGGAGGCAGAGGTTTTTTAGATAAAATCTGATATATTTTATTAGGCTAAATACTTGGAAAAATTGTTCTTTGCAAGCTTTGGGGCACAAACACCCTTCTCCAAAGAAAGGCATCAAGAGGTACAAAATTATTCTTCCTATTTCACAAAGTGCCAGCACATCACATACTTTAGTGTAGGTATATGCCTGGTCAGATTTTAAATATGTGCATCTAAATCAACATTCAAAAGTCAGATTCTAAATAGACAGAAGGTGCTCGTGTGGACGTTGTATCAAGTGCATAAAACAACCAGGGAAAGGGAAAAGCCCAAGATTCACCGTGCTGCTCCTTTTTCACGGGCACTAGGTTCACAACACCCTGGCATTAGAGAGGGTGCATATTACACCAACATTTTGTTATGCGGAGAAACGGCGGGTAACCCTTATTTTGGGAACGGCAGAACTGACCAGCTTTCCTTCTGGGCTCCCCTTTTGCCCCAGCGCCCCTTGCCAGACTGGCAGAGCCAGGGCACGAGGCACTGCCAGCCCAGAGATGCTGAGCGCCGCCCTGATGGCGCGAGCAATGTCCGCTGTGCCCTAGGCGCGGGGCTGCAGCTCGGCAGCTGACGCAGGCTCCCGGTCTCCGGGGGCGAGAGGGGCACCCCTGCACCCCTGGCGCTGACTCGCCGAGGCGGAGACCGCATCCCTCCCTGGCGTGGGGGCAGCGGCACAGGCCGAGGGGAACAGGTACCCCAAGACCCCCTCGCCCCGCGCTACCGGCACAGGAGGTACCAACAACATGGCGGCTGGCGCACTCCCCGCCCCGCCCCCTTTTCCCAGGCAACGGCGTGGGGGGCACGTGCGTGCGTCACTGCGTCACAGCGGCGGCGCGCGAGACCGCGCCCCGGCTCGTGGCGAGGGGCAGGGCGGCAGCGGCACCTCCCCGGGGCGGGGCG